TCGTTCGGTGTGCCTTGCCACTCTCATTATCATTGGAACCGTCTGTTGGCTGACTTCTCCTCCCAGTAGCTCCCGCCCATCGATCGTGGTCACCTGCAAGGGGTTACTTAAAGGGACAGTTTGTATCTGGTGCTCAGCTGCAAACTCCTTACTCATGAAATTACAGGAGCTGCCTGAGTCCAATAGCGCCTTTATCTTCAGTGGGTGTCCATTTGGCAGCTCTAGTAACACCTCTATCACTAAAGCAGGTCTTGGAGGTTCCGGCGTGGGCACTTTCACTGCTCTTTGGCCTGGCTGCTGTGCCCCGACGGTGGCAGCCAGGCGTTGGCTTTTACTTGCTCCTTGCCTTCCTCCTCTTTTTCCCCAACAGCTCCCGCCATCCCTTGCCATTCCTTTCTTTGTGGGCAGACTCTGGCAAAGTGACCTGGCTGTTGGCAGAGATAACATTTCTTGGCGCTCTTCCCCTCCTTCTTCCGCCCTTCACTGGGATTTGAAACTGCGCGCGCGCTGTGCCAATTTCCATCGGCTCTGCCGGCGGGAAAGGTGGCTCTGGAATCTCTGGAATGCGGAAATCCCTCCAGCGCTCCCCTCTCCCTTCCCGCTTTTCCAACGCTCTCGCCTCCTGGCGTGCTCCTATGGTCAGCGCGGATTTGGTCAGCTGGTCCATAGACTCCGCCCTGGGCGCCCGGGAAAGTTCGTCTTTCACCGCCGAAGAAAGCCCTTCTTCGAAAAGCATTTGAATGGGCTCCGCCGATAGATCCCACCCCAATTTATGGATCAACATGGTAAACTCAGTCCAGTACTCACGGACAGATCGGCTCCCCTGTTTGCAAGCCATTAACTGTCTGCGCACCACTCCCTGCTCAATGTCGCTGGAAAACATCAGGTCCATGGCGCGAAAAAACTTCCTCGTGTCCTTTAGGATCTCATTATTCACTGCCATCAGGGGTCTAACCCCGTCCTTCACCCCCGATTCGAGATGGCCAATCACAAAAGCCACTCGCGACTCCTCGTCGGGAAAGTCATCAAACTGCAGATTGAGAGCATATTGCATCTCTGTCCTAAAGGCGTGATAGTTCCTGGGATCCCCCCAAACTTCTGCACCAATCCTGGCACCTTTCGTGCGAGCGGGGTGGTTTTTCCCTTTTCTGCATCCTGAGCCTCGCCGTCTGCAGCGCTAGCTGGACCTCCAACACCCTGTACCTTTCTTCCAGGCTTGGACCCGCTCCAGCTCCTCCTGCTTCTCCGGTTTCGGCTGGGTTGCTCATGATGCCTCCCCTTGCACAAGCTGCTTTCAAAGACTTTCGGATTGCTGTAATGGGATGATGAGCTGCTTGTGCGTAAAATGCAAGTCCCTCAGAGTTTGTTCAAGTCCTCAAACCTCTGCCTAAGACGGAGCCCCTCCAGCATGGCTCCGTCAGTCGCTAGCAGAATCCGAAAGTGGTCTCTTACGGAATCTCTTCCAGCATAAAAGCTCCTTAACGGAAACACGTCTTCTGGACTCTCGGCGTGACAGTTTCCGGCGAGGAGTGGGTGTCCCTATAGGAGGTCTTGAAACCTCCCCACTGTTTTCGCTGGAAGTGTCTCTGAGCCATCCCTCCGACTCACTTTCCCCTGGAGCCCCTCCTCTCCCCCTGCTGGTTCCCTCTTCCGCTGCTAAGTCTGTCTCAACCTCTGTGAGCCCTTCCACCTCCTGTCCTTCTGATGGCAGTTCCCTGACAATAATGATGGCTGACTGGGAACGGTTATGGACCACAGGTATGAAATTTACGGCATGTAATGCCTTAAGAGAAAATTTAATAAAAATGATTTATAGGTGGTACATGACACCAGTTAAGCTTCAAAAAATCTACCATTTGCCCGATAATAAATGTTGGAAATGTAATGAGACTGAAGGTACATTCTTTCACCTTTGGTGGACATGCCCAAGGATTAAGGCATTCTGGGAGATAATTTATAATGAAATGAAGAAGGTATTTAAATATACCTTCCTGAAGAAACCAGAGGCCTTTCTCCTGGGCATGGTCGGCCAATTGGTGTTAAAGAAGGATAGAACTTTTTTTATGTATGCAACAACAGCAGCAAGAATACTCATCGCAAAATATTGGAAGACACAAGATTTACCCACCAGGGAAAAATGGCAGATTAAGTTGATGGACTACATGGAATTGGCAGAAATGACTGGCAGAATCCGAGACCAGGGAGAAGAGTCGGTGGAAGAAGACTGGAAAAAGTTTAAAGACTATTTACAGAAATACTGTAAAATTAATGAATGTTAGAAAAATGTTGGAATGAAGTTATATGGCTTTAGTAGAAATGTTATAAGGAATTAAGTATAAATAGATTATTAGAGCATTAAAGGGAAAAATAAGGTTAGAATGTGTTAAGACAATTATAGGATAGAAAATAGAGGAAGATGGAAAGGAATTGCTGAAACAATCAATAGAAGTGGAATACAAAAAGGGAGGTGTGAGGAGGTCGTGGAAATTAGTGAAAGAAGGATAAAATATTGAAATTGGACTGTGTTTTAAATGTTTTTGTTTTGTTTTGTTAGTTGTATGTTAGTGTTTTGCAGTTTATTATTATTATTATTATTATTATTATTATTATTATTATTATTGTATTGTATTATTGTATGTTTATTGTATGTTTTTTCTCTTTTGGTTTTTTGTAGTGTTGTGTTCAATTTGTTGGAAAATTAAGAAATATTATTATTAAAAAAAAAAGCCGAGCATGGGTTTCTCAAAAACAAGTACCGGTAATGCCAGACGAATCTCCTTTCTTTTTTTGATAGGGTTACAAGCTTGGTGAATCAGAGGAATGCTGTGGACATAGTGTATCTCAATTTCAGTAAGACTTCTGACAAATGCATCCCCCATGATAGTCTTGCAGAGAAGCTGGTAAAATGTGGGCTGGATGAGGTAACTGTGAAATTTGTAGCTGGTTGACTGATCAGACCCAAAGAGTGCTCACTAACGGTTCCTCATTATCCTGGAGAAAAGTGACAAGTGGGGTACCACACAGTTCTGTTCTGGGCCAGTTGATGTTCAACATATGTATAAACTACTTGGATGAAGGTATTCACTTGCAGGTGACACCAATTTGGGAGGGGTAGCTAATGCCTCCGAAGACAGAATCAGAATTCAAAATGACCATAACAGTTTGGAGAACTGGGCCCAGACTAACAAAATGAATTTCGGTAGGGACAAATGTAAGGTTCAGCACTTAGGCAGGAAGAACTAGATGCACAAATATAGGATGGAGGACAACTGACTTATTAGCAGTACATGTGAAAGGGATCTAGGGGTCTTGGTGGATCACAAGCTTAACGTGAGTCAACAGTGTGATGCAGCAGCAAAAAAAAGCTAATGCTATTCTTGGCTGCATCAACAGAAGTCTAGTGTCCAGATCAAGGGAAGTTATAGTACCACTCTATTCTGCCCTGATCAGACCACACTTGGAATACTGTGTCCAATTTTGGGCACCACAATTTAAGAAGGATGTTGACAAGCTGGAAGGTGAGCAGAGGAGGGCAACCAAGATGATCAAGGGTCTGGAAACCAAGCCTTATGAGGAGTACTTGAAGGAAGCTGGGTATGTTTAGTCTGGAAAAGAGGCTGACAGGAGATATGATAGCCATCTTCAAATATCTCAAAGGCCGTCACGTGGAGAGTGGAACAAACTTGTTTTTCCCCTTGCTAGGACCTGAGCGAATGGCTTCAAGTTGCAAGAAAGGAGATTTCAACTAAAGATTTCAGGAAGAACTTTCTGACAGTAAGAGCTGTTTGAAAGTGGAACAGACTTCCTCCTTAATTGGAGGTTTTAAAGCAGAAGTTGGATGTCATCTATCAGGGATGGTTTAGTTGAGATTGCTGAATTGCAGGGGGTTAGACTAGATGGCCCCTAGTGTCACTTCCAACTCTACATTTTATTATTTTAAGTATGCAAAGCTAAGAACCCAGGCACCAAGAACTGTGTTACTTCTTAGCACTAATCAGAAGAACTTTAGTTTCTGATGCACACTGAATATGAGGATTCATTGTAAGGAAAGGGGGAGGGGCACTGCAATGTTGGCAGGGATTATTAGGGAATTTCTGACCTAACAGTGGAGTTTGATGCAGCGCATCTATAGGAAATAAATATGAAGTATGATAAGCTGTGTTTGTGACCTCCTGAAAGCTTCCACTCCAATATGGGTTTGGTACAAAAACTCTCTGAGTACAAATATCAAGAGGACTGCCAAAATTAAAGAACATCACACATCATATCTTGATCTCATTTATGTTTTGCTTTTAATAGCGCTGCTTTGACTAATTTTATCTCAGGTTAGAATTTTGATATGGCTTATCACTTCCTGCTAAACTTATTTAGTCCAACTTTATACATGGTTTGTTAGAATGAAATAATTACGGTATAAGTCTATCTCTTCACATGTTGCAATATTCCTAGTGCAGTTTTGTTTATCGAGTTTTGTAGCATACAGTTCTTTGCATGTCTCATTTGCCATGACGTGGTCAGTGTTTCCTTCCTGCTGTTTACAAGCCGGTGTTAGAGATAAGAATACACTCACGTTGCATTTACACAGGGTTGAAAAAAATGCCCAAATATCTGTTCACTTAGGGGTGGCAGAAGACTTTTTTGCATCTTTAGATCAAAAACAAGCAATGAGTCTTAGGAGTGTGGTAAAGAGAGACATTTTCTTAAACCAGTAATAAATATATATTGCAAAGTTGGATCGGCTTGAAAGGCAGAAATGTGTTACGTGGACTGGTGGCGTTCGATCCCTCCAGTCACCTTAGATGGTGGGTTTTCTGATTACTCCATTGTATTTCTGTTTGCTGGCTTCTAGAAAAGTGTGCTTCCCAATTATAATAATAAAGCATTTGTCTGTTTTAAGTAATATTAGTAAGGTGTTAAAAAATAAAGAGATGGACTTTATAGCATCTTCTTTGATTTTATTTTACATTTTTTATGACTGTGATCTTGATTTTGTTTTTCAGTGGCCTTTGGATTACAAGAGTATTCAGGAAGGCATTTTCTAATTGACCTGTCTGTGAATAGTAGAATCCAGGAAGATTGTATAAGAATCTGGGTACCTGAGTAACTTCAAGATCGTCTACCCCACACAACTCATTCCTGATGATAAACTCTGTTTCTTTACATTGAAGGAGCATTTTCCCCACATGCAGAACTGAAATCTTGGAATGCTTTATTATGGCAGCAGCTGTACAGCAGAATGACCTAATGTTTGAATTTGCCAGTAATGTTATGGAGGATGATCAACAGGTAAGAGAGAAATAAAATAAACCATGTTGGATAACTACTAGTGTATTCTACGCAAATATTAAAAGCGTTATTTTACTTTTTTCCCTTTTGAACCTTTGATTCTAATCACAAGGGAAATCCTGTGCACATCTATGAATTGCTTTCTAGTGTATGTGTGTTGATGAGCAATTTAGTTGATAGGCTTCATGCCTTAAGACTTTATAACACCTATAATTCTCCAGATGGATGAGAAAAAGCAAATTGAACTTGAATCCTAGCAAGACTCAGGCACTGTGGGTGAGTGGTTCCTACATCTGAGAAACTGGTGAATTGTTTACTCTGGATAGGATTGCACTCTCCCTGAATCATAGAATCATAGAATCATAGAATCATAGAATCATAGAGTTGGAATAGACCACGAGGGCCATCGAGTCCAACCCCCTGCCAAGCAGGAAACACCATCAGAGCACTCCTGACATATGGTTGTCAAGCCTCTGCTTAAAGACCTCCAAAGAAGGAGACTCCACCACACTCCTTGGCAGCAAATTCCACTGTCAAACAGCTCTTACTGTCAGGAAGTTCTTCCTAATGTTTAGGTGGAATCTTCTTTCTTGTAGTTTGGATCCACTGCTCCGTGTCCGCTTCTCTGGAGCAGCAGAAAACAACCTTTCTCCCTCCTCTATATGACATCCTTTTATATATTTGAACATGGCTATCATATCACCCCTTAACCTCCTCTTCTCCAGGCTAAACATGCCCAGCTCCCTTAGCCGTTCCTCATAAGGCATCGTTTCCAGGCCTTTGACCATTTTGGTTGCCCTCCTCTGGACACGTTCCAGTTTGTCAGTGTCCTTCTTGAACTGTGGTGCCCAGAACTGGACACAGTACTCCAGGTGAGGTCTGACTAGAGCAGAATACAGTGGCACTATTACTTCCCTTGATCTAGAGGCTATACTCCTATTGATGCATCCCAGAATTGCATTGGCTTTTTTAGCTGCTGCGTCACACTGTTGGCTCATGTCAAGTTTGTGGTCAACCAAGACTCCTAGATCCTTTTCACATGTACTGCTCTCAAGCCAGGTGTCCCCCATCTTGTATTTGTGCCTCTCATTTTTTTTGCCCAAGTGCAATACTTTACATTTCTCCCTGTTAAAGTTCATCTTGTTTGTTTTGGCCCAGTTCTCTAATCTGTCAAGGTCGTTTTGAAGTGTGATCCTGTCCTCTGGGGTGTTAGCCAACCCTCCCAGTTTGGTGTCATCTGCAAATTTGATCAGGATGCCCTTGAGTCCATCATCCAAGTCGTTGATAAAGATGTTGAATAAGACCGGGCCCAAGACAGAACCCTGTGGCACCCCACTAGTCACTCTTCTCCAGGATGAAGAGGAACCATTGATAAGCGGTTGATTGTCTCAGAGTATCTCTGGATCCAGTCTGTCACTGTAGGTCCAGGTCCAGGTAGCCTCAGTGGCTAGGAGTGCCTTCTAGCAATTGCAACTGGTATGACATACACAAGTTTCCCTTCCTGGACCAGGAAGGCTTGGCATGGATTACTCCAGGGTTGGATTTACTACAAGGTGCTCTATGTAGGGCCTCCCTGGCACTTGATCTGAAAGTTGCAGTTAGTGCCGAGTAGGGTGGCATGTTTGCTGAGGGAGGCCTTGTCAGCATATAAGATCTGTGCTCGGAGAACTGCAGTGGTTGCCCATTTGCTCCTGGGTGAAGCTCAAGGTACTACTGGTAGTAAGTGAATCAATCTTTTAGTGTGACAAGCGCACACACTTTGGAACTCCTTACTTATTGACACTAGGCAGGTGCCTTCACTATGCTCTTTTTGGTGCCTGCTGAAAACACCTTAGGCAAGCCTATCCACACGTGTAGAATGTTGACCATGTGTTTTAATCTAGGTTTTAGCTTATTGTTGATTTTAACTATTTTTTAATGTTTTAAATAGTTGTTTTTAATTACTTTTGCTGCTAATGTCATCGTTTTTTTCTTTTTGTAACTGCTTTGAGGGTTTTTTTTAAAACAATTGAGCAGTATCTAGGTGACAACCATTTCGCTCAGGGGTTCCGTTCCTGGCCTCCCGTGTGTGTTGGTGTGCATATAAGCATGCCATACCCCCATTAGACCCCCTTCTGCTGCCTTCTGGGTCCAAAGGCACCTCTGAGCAGCCAAAAATGATTATGTTGGTGTCAACTATTGGACGGCAGCTCCCGCTATACCTTACCATTAACAGTGTTGGTTGGAGCCAAAGAGCCACAGTTTAGCCAACTTTGTAGCAAAGGACTGAGCAGCTTTTATTGGCACTTTGCCTCTTGAAATGTTTGGCACTTGTGTATCCTTCAAGAAGAGTGTCCTGTCTTCTGGCCACGGCTGAAAAGTTGTGGCTTTCTCCCTCCCCCTTTCTGTGCACAAGCAGAGGGGCAAGAGGGCAGTCAAGGCAGCTCAGAATTTGGGTGTGCTTTTTCCAGAGGGCCTTGCAAACTGAGGTGCTGATGGCCCTTGAAGAATCCTGGGGAGCTGGGCTGAATCAGAGGGTACCACAGGCCCACTGTCGGTGCTTGAGTGGGATCATCAGCTTTGGCAGGGCTGGGAGGAGCCCTCTTGCATCTGCAAACCCTGCTCAGAGAAAGAGGGAAGGGGACATTTGATTATTATTTTATTTTGCAAGTTGGGGGCTCACAGAATCATATCAGGGAGTGAACAGTAAAGGGAGTGATCAGTAAAAGCAAGGTTTTGTGGGTTTTTAGAAAATGACTAGTTGGGGGGTAGGACTTGGGAGCTATAGAAAATCTTTTGGCATCATAGTACCATAGTGAGGGACCCATGGGAGCAGTCAGCAAAAACATTATTAAAAAACACCCTGTAAGTTAAAAAAAGGGGGTAAAATTTGGAGATGCCTTGGGAGGGGCAAAAAAACCTTATGGCATCATATTGAGAGAACCATAGAAGCAATCAATTTAAAAAAATTGATTATTATTTTAAGAAATGACAAATTTCAGGGTAGGATGGAGTTTGGAGACTGTGTATGGTGACTTCAGGCTATCCACCCTAGTTTAAATAATGAAGTACTTGGGCTAACACGTTAGTTAAAAGCAGATCCATAAGGCCCATTCAAAAGCTAATAAAGTTGGACCCAAGTGTACACCCTTGGGAGGGACCTGGGGCCAGCACTGTGAAGGCCCTGCACCTGCTGTCTGTCAGTCAAGTAGGCCTTAATGGTAGAGCCTCTGAGGCCAGTCATAAGGCTGGGAAGGGGGCAAGAGCCGTTCAGAGAAATTGGTCCTAATCTGTTTAGGCCTTTAAAGGTCAACAGCAGGACTTTTAATTGGATCCACAAACAAATAGTTTGCTCTTGCAACTGGTATAATGACCCCAAAACCTGGTCCCAACCACTCTGCAGGCAGCTGCGTTCTGATTTCTGAACTGTCTTCAAAGGCAGCGCATGCCAGACATTGCAATAGTCCAGGCTGCTTTTCTCTGCATAAAGTTAATAACTGATGAACCAGCTTATGCTGGTAAAAGGTGTCCTAAGCCATGAATCCCGCCTTGTGCCTCCACAGATAGTGCAGAGTTCAATAGAGCGCCAATCTCCATACTTGTCTTTCAGGGGATGTGGCCCCCCCCCATGCCAAACCAATTGCAAATCTCCAGATATACAGTAGATGGCATCTCACTTCAAACCAACCGATGATTTTCCTCTGCAGCATCATATACACATTAAACAAATGTTAATACAGCCGGTTAATACAAGTACCCTCTGAGTAGGTCCCAAAAGGGAGAAGGGGAACCACTCAAGCCAATGCCTCAAATTCCCAAGACTACATGAGGGCCTCCAGTGTCAACCACTATCAGGCACACACTAGGCTGCTGGCAGCAAGAAAGCAGGTAAAATGTTTGAGGGGGGTGCACATGACAATGGTCTCACCCCTTCACTTGCTGATACCCATTTTCATCAGTTCTCAGTTTTGGGGGGTAGAGACAAGCTTGTAGCATGCCAGACAGATCAGTTTGCTATGAGGAGAGTTACAGAATTTTACTTTGCTATGAAATTCTTCTTCGTTGTGTCTAATTTATACATTTAAGCTTATTTAGATCAGAGCCTAAAACTAGAAGCATTTTTGTACAAGGACCTGAACACTGTGTAAATTGATGGACTGGATGAGGGTCAGTAAATGGAGCTTGATGAAGGCAAGTGATTCTTGTGTCTGGAAGATTGGCCAGTTGCCTATTCTGGTTGTGTTTGCATTCCCTTTGGAAAAGCAGGCTCGTAGTTTGTGCTCCTGGATCCAGCCTTGTCAATGGTAACCTTAGGTAACCTCAGTTCTAGGAGTGCCTTTCACAAGCTGTGGTTAACACACCAATGACAGTTATACCTCGGGTTACAGACACTTCAGGTTGTGTGTTTTTGGGTTGCACACTGCGCTGAACCTGGAAGTACCGGAATGGGTTACTTCTGGGTTTTGGCGCATGAGCAGAAGCGCCGAATTGCGACCCGCGCGTGCGCAGACGCAGCACTGCAGCCACTGTCCTGCCATTCTTCAACTGTGATTTATGCATTGGTGACCTCAGGACTTGATTACTGCAATGCATTCTCTGTGGGGCTACCTTTGGGTCTGGTCTGGAGGCTCCAGCTGGGACAGAATGATGTGGCTAGATTGATGGCAAGGGCAGACTACCCTGTTGCTTGAACATTGGCTTCATGAATTTTCAAGTCCCTTAACAACTGGGGGTCCAGGATACCTTAAGGACAGCCGATTCCAATCACTGAGATCTCTAGGGGAGTCTCTTTTTTGTGGCACCCCATGGCTCAAATGCATGGCTCATATCTAGCAGAAGCCACACATTCAGTATTGTGGGCCCAGGTCTATGGAACTAATTTCCAGCTGAGCTGATACAAGCCACCACTCTGTTGAACTTTGGGCACTTGGCAAAGACTTTCCTATTCCCAGAGGCGTTTCTCCTTAACATTTAAACCTAGACAGCATCTTAAAAAGTAGAGACATCACCTTGCCAACAAA